CATCTTGGTCAACATGGTGAAACCCCGTCTCTACTAAAATTACAAAAAATTAGCTGGGCATGGTGGCGCGTGCCTGTAATCCCAGCTGCTCGGGAGGCTGAGGCAGGAGAATTGCCTGAACCCAGGAGGCGGAGATTGCGGTGAGCCGAGATCGCGCCATTGCACTCCAGCCTGGGTAACAAGAGCGAAACTCCGTCTCAAAAAAAAAAAAAAAAATCTTTTACACCACATTTTTTTTACGGTGTCTTTTTAATATTTAAATATGTTTAGATGCAGAAATACTCACCATTGTGCTACAATTGTCTACAGTATTCAGTGAAGTAACATGATGTTTAGGTTTGTAGCCTTGGAGCAATAGACTCTCTCCTAGAGCATAGTTGTATAGTGGGCTATACCATCTAGGTTTGTGTAAGTACACTTTATAACGTTTGCACAATGACAAAATTGCCTAAAAATACCACATTTCTTAGAACATATTCTGTGGTTAAGCATCATATGATTATAGATGCAAAGTGGTTTATTCACAGGGCAATTGCATTCTACCAATTCTACCAGTGCAACTAATTGCATTGAACTGGACATGATTCGTTTTCATAGACAAGAATCATTTGCATTATATCAGTTTTCTACAACTTACGAAGTTGCAAAATAGCTCAAACACAATGAAAGATGAACATAACCCTAAAAGGTATCTGGACAGAACACTCCATTTTTTTGTCCATTTCAATGTATTTCACAATGTTTATTGGCACCATAATATTGGTTTGTCCTTCTTGAAACATCTTCCATCTCCCATGCCACCCCAATCTCTTAATTTGCCTCTTCTCTTGCTGCTTGCTGTATCTCTTTCTCTTAGATCCCTCTCCTCTTCCCAATTTCTAAATGTTGGAATGCCCTGAGGCTCTGAGTTCTTTCTTTTTGCAGTTCTACCTAGGTAATACCGCCTAGTCCAAGGGTTGTCAATCTATAGGCTATGGGCCAAATATGGCCCACTATCTGCTTTCTAAAATAAAGTTTTATTGGAACATGGTCATGATCATTCATTCACATATTGTCTATGGCTGCTTTCATATTATAATAGCAGAGTTGAGTGGTTGGGACAGATAGTATGGCCCACAATGCCTAAAACACTTACCATCTGGTTCTTTGCAGACAGTCTTAATGGGCTTTCAAAACACACGTTGATGACTCCCAGATTTTCATGTCCAACCTGATCTCATTCCAGCACTCCAGACTTGTTAATACCTCCACCTTCTCCACCACACATCTCAAAGCCACATTTCACCATGGCCACCCTCAGTCCTGTTCCTCTTCAAAACTTCCCATCTCATTAAATGACACCCTGTCCCTGAGTTGTTCAGGCCAAAACCCTTGGTGTCTTTTACTACTCCTCTCTTGGTTTCACACTCCACATCCTTTTCCATTAGAAAATTCTGGTTGCTCTTCCTTTATAATAGAACCTGATTCTATTACACTCTCTCTCCCCCAACTGTTCTCCTTGCTTCTTCCCTCACCCCACATAGCAGCAAGTGCTCATCAGAAATAGAATCCAGATCAAGTCCCTCCCTTGCTCAGCAGCTTCCTGTCATGCTCAGAACAAAATGCAAAGTCCAGCCTCGGCTCTGGCTGCTTCTCTGACCCACCTCCTTACCACTTATTCTCAACTCCAACTCCACTCCAGCCACAGTGGCAACCTTGCTCATCCTCAAAGTCAGCCAACACCCACCACCTTAGTCTCTGGATTTTACACGTGGTATTCCCTCTGCCTGAAACTTCTGGTCCTGGAGAGCCACATGGCTCTCCTCACTTCAGTCAGGTCACTGTTCTCTGCTCCTCCTAAAATGTCAATCCTCATTACTCTCTAGCTCCTTACCATGCTACCTTGTTTTGTTTTTCTTCAATCTAATTAAGTATATATTTTATATGTAATACATATACAATATATGCATTCTGATATCATTAATCTTGAGTACAAGCTCCATGAGAGCAGGCATTTTGACATATAGTAGGTGCTCAGTAAATACATGCTGAATAAATGAATGAATGGACACAGTCCAAGCATAGGGAATAATAAAACAAACTGTAAGCAATTTGCTGAAAGCAATTTCTCCACACATGAATGCAAGAAGACCGGGGGCCTGGCTCTAACCGCACCCACCACTCAGGCAAGCCTTTTGATTTCCTTAAGAGGAGACTACCAACAACACACTTGCCCTTTAGAAATACAATAAGGTCACCTTATCACAATACAGGGTGGATATATTTCTGCTAGTCAGTAGAACTCACTAGATATATTTCTGCTAGTGGGGGAATGGGAAGGGAGAAAGCAGGGGCCTGAGAGAAAACTATGTGTGTGCTTCTTCTAAATCTAGAAGGCTAGTTGTTCAATTGGGTGACTAAGACTCCCTGGCACAGGAGTAAATGTTCTAATGTCCTGTGGTCCAAGGGGCCTCCAGGCTCCAACTCTCATCTCAGCCTGGCCTTTCTATTCAAAGTGTCCCTGGAACTACGTCTAGGTCCATAAAAGGTATCCAGAAAGTAGAAAGAAGATAGACAGCAAACACCATAATTGAGTTAATTGATGGGCAAAGAGTGACCCAGAGCTATACTTACAAAATGACAAGTATGCATCTGATTATAAAGTTAGCTATAAATGCACTGGAAGTGTCCAGAGGTAAGGAATCACCAACAAAGCAGGAAGGGGAGTTTGTGTAGTGGGGAAGGCGGAGGGTAGCAGCTCACTGAGTTCTCGCAGTAAGAGTCTTACAGCCATTCTCCCAGGCTTTACCCCACCCTGTCCTCCCCTTGGCCCAGAGAGCCTGCTCCAGCTACCAAGCCGAAGTTCTTCTCAGGAGAGCCCCGTCAGAGCCTGTCTGGGGACATTCCAGAGTCAAGTTTGTCTCAGCACCTTCTCCCTTCACTTCCCACACTTCTTTCCAATTCCAGGCACCTCATCACCTCTGTCCCACCATGAGCCAGGCTGGAGCTGGTTTCTAATTGCCACCCTCACCCCTACCTAGCACTCATTGTGTTCTATCCATCTGAAGGCTCTTGATTCCAAATTACCTCCTCTCCATTTCTCAAAGTCCTGCTTTCCAGGGCCTGTGAATCTAGATGGAATTTCCGCTAGCATTGGATTCTCTGTCAAAAAATTACCTTGGCTCCTCCACTGCCTTCGAATGTTGATGTCTCCTGCATTTCTTTTCCCTGGCTCTTCTTCTCCTATTTCCTCTTTCTCTTTCTCTCTTTTTGTAAAATTAGAGACAGGGTCTCACTATGTTGCCTAGGCTACAACTCTAATTTGTGGGCTCAAGTGATTCTCCCACCTCAGCCTTCTAAGTAGCTGGGACTGCAGGTGCTCGTGCCACCGTGGCTGGCTCCCTCTGCTGCGAGCAGATTCTCCAGGTCCAGATCCCAGAAAATAGCACCCAAACTGTAACAGCCTAATGGGTTCGTCTTGCCCACCGTCCAGAAAAGCTGATACACTAAGAACATGAGGTATTGCAACAAATAAACTGTTCAATTATCTGGGGGCCATCCAGGGACCCAACAGGGAGCCAGACGGGCCACACCAGCCGCGGGCACCAGACGGAGGACCCAGCACTTCAGCCTCCACACAGCACCCATCCGTCTTCCCCTTGATCCCCTGCTGCAAAGAAGTTAAGAACAAAGCCTTCGTGACCGTGGGCTGCCTGGCCACAGGATACTTCCCCATGCCAGTGACCATGACCTGGGACACAGGCTCCCTCAACGGGATTGTTGTGACCCTCCCAGCCACCACCCCCATGGCCTCTGGCCACTACGCCACCACCAGCCAGCTGACCGTCTGGGGTGCATGGAAGAAGCAGGGGTTCACCTGCAGGGTGGCACATACTCCATCATCCCCAGACCTGGTCGAAAAAACCTTCAGAGTCTGCTCCAGGGATGTCGACACGCCCACGGTGAAGATCCTGCAGTCCTCCTGTGGTGGCGGCGGACACTTCCCCCCGACCATCCAGCTCCTGTGTCTGTTTCCGGGTACACCCCAGGCGACATCAACATCACCTGGCTGCAGAACGGGCAGGTCGTGAACGTGAACTGGACCGTCTCTGCTCCCATGCTGGAGGGCAAGCTGGCCTCCAGGCAGAGCGAGCTCATCCTCTGCGGACCCAGAAGCGCTGGCTGTCCAACCACACCTATCAAGGCGACACCTTTGAGGAAAGTGCCAAGAAGTGTACAGACTCCAACCCGAGAGGGGTGAGCACCTACGTGAGCCGGCCCAGCCCCTTGGACTTGTTCGTCAGCAAATCCCCCACGATCACCTGTCTGGTGGTGGACCTGGCGCCCAACATGATCCCAAAGCAGCAGAAGCAGTGCAATGGCACGGTCACCATCGCGTCCACCCTGCCAGTGGGCACCAGAGATTGGATCGAGGGAAAGACCTACCACTGCAGGGTGACCCACCCCACCTGCCCAGGGCCCTTGTTTGGTCCATGACCAAGATGAGCGGCTCGCGTGCTGTCCCGGAAGTCCAAGTGTTTGCAACACCAGAGGAGTTGGGGAACCCGGACAAGCGAACCCTCAGCTGCCTGATCCAGAACTTCCTGCCCATGGACATCTCGGTGCAGTGGTTGCACAATGGAGTGGCGCTCCCGCCCTCCCGGTATAGCACCACGCCGCCCCACAAGACCAAGGGCCCCGGCTTCTTCGTCTTCAGCCGCCTGGAGGTGACCAGGGCTTAATGGGAGCAGAAAAACAGTTCATCTGCCGTGCGATCCACGAGGCAGTGAAAGACTCACAAACCGTCGAGAAAGCAGTGCCTGTAAATCTCGGTAAATGACATCCTCCTGCCTCCCTCCCTCCCAGGGCTCCGTCCAGCGGTGCGGTGGGGAGGGCTGGCCAGACCTTCTGTTCACTGTTGCCACGACTCCAGGAAGCCACCCCTAATAAACAGTGGGTGCTGTGGAAAAAAAAAAAATGCCCACCATCCAGAAAAGCTGATACACTAAGAACATGAGGTATTGCAACAAATAAACGGTTTAATTAGCTGGGCATGGTGGTTCACACCTGTAATCTCAGCACATTGGGAGACGAAGGCAGGAGGATTACTTGAGCCCGGAGTTTGAGACCAGCCTGGGCAGCACAGTGAGATCTCATCTCTACAAAAAATAAACAAAATTGTCAGAGGCATTAGAACCAGAGCAACTACATCTTGAATAGGGGCTGGGAAAAATAAGGCTGAGATGTGCTGGGCTGCATACCCAGCTGCTTAGGCATTCTAATGTACAGGATGAGATAGGAGGTTGGCACAAGATACAGGTCATAAAGACCTTGCTGATAAAACAGAAGCCAGCCAACACCAAAACCAAGATGGCCAGGACAGTGACCTCCAGTCATCTTCACTGCTACACGCCTACCAGTGCCATGACAGCTTACAAATGCTAGTGAGGGTAACCATAGTCTAACATTTTTAGATCATATAGGGTAACTTCCTGACATTGCCATGGTCTAAAAAAGGGAGGCATGAATAATCCACTCCTTGTTTAGCACATAATCAAGAAATAACAATAAAAATGGCCAACCAGTGGCCCTTGGGGCTGCTCTGCCAATGGAGTAGCCATTCTTTTATTTCTTTACTTTCTTAATATACTTGTTTTCACTTTCTTTCTTTCTTTTTTTAATCTGGACTTGTTTCTGAGATCCAGTAGCATCTTTCTGGTGAGCCACGAAGAGACTATACTGAGGAGACCCTCTACCCAAAGGACATAGACTAGGACTGTTTGGCCAAATTTGGGTAAATGGTGGGGTACCCGGGTAAAGGATTTGATTGGGTTAGAGGCCCAACTTAGGGAAGTTAGAGTCTTTCCTAAGACATAGTGGGTTAAAGTTCCCTCTTAATAAAAGGCAAGGACACTTGACCAAACCTGGGTTCAAGGCCCAACTTAGGAAGATAAGAGTCCTTCCTAAAATTTACGGGGTTGGAGGCCCCCCTCGGTAAAGTCCCTCTCAACTAAGAATGGATTTGGCACTACAGGATGTTAACTGCTATTTCTTTGGATTAATCTGTCTTGCACTCTTTACTGATGGCTGCAGGTGACAGAATTAGGCATGTACAGGATCATGGGACATGGGGAGCTTTTGCATTCCTAAAGGCAGAAACTTGAGAGCTGGTGAAACTGCTAGAAAAGATCCCTTCATGACTGATAAGCAGCCACCTGAACTTTTGATTAAGCATAGCTGGGATGAGTGGGTCTTTCTCTGGCCTCCCTGAGCTCTTTACCTTCCTCACTCTGCTGCAGAGAATGCTTTACTCCTTTTCTCTCCTTTCCTTATCTTTTCTACTACCCAGGGTGATCAACTTTCCCAGAGACCAAAAGTTGAAACTCATGGTTGGAGGTTGGATTAACAATTATGGGGCCAACCGGGGGCAAGTTTGAGCCTTGCCAGTTTGATATTGGGTACTAAGCAGAGTGGCTAAGATCTGGGTTTTGTCACACATATTTTGCTCCAGCTGGAAAGAGAAAGACAATTTTCCTTTGTGTTGAGAGTTGGCCCCAGAGCTATGGTGCAGTGAGCTAGGTCACTAGGGCTGCTCAGAGAAAGGGAACCTAGAAGCCTGGCATACTGGCAAAAGAGTAAGAATTTCTTTTTTCGCTCTCTTTTTTTTTTCACTATCTCCAGTAATGGCTACAAGCAAAAAAGGGTAAGAATCTCTTACCAGTCAGACTTCTAGCCTTTCTCTCTTGCTGTGCAAACTGATCGAATGAATAGTAAAAATCTCTGTTTATCTTCTGTAAAGTTTCAATAAGTGGGAAAAAGAATTTGTGAGGCTAGCCTTAATCTGGTGTGCTTTGTGTGTCTTTCTGTATTTTCTGTCATAAAGAGGGGTACTCTAGGATAGAATGTGGGCCGAGGACCCCTGTAAACCTACTGTTCAAGATGGCCCAGCAAACTGGTCAGTTACAAATTTTGCTACAGGCCTCTGGAACCAAAAAAACTGGATAAAGTTTCCTCTCATCTTGTTTCATTTCCTTGGGAGCTTGACCTTGTAATTATGTGGCAGTACTTTCTCTTGGTCTCTGCCATTTTGCAATAGTGGCCGGGGTTCAATTCCAACTTAGGGGATGACTCCTTTCTGGTTTGATATCTGACCTTTACCATTTGTTGATTCTCTTCCCTTCCATGCACAGCTTCTGGTTTCCCTTCTTGAACCTTTCTTTTAGCTACCGTTGGAGATTCTAGATCTTGTAAAAATGGCTTACCACCTCTTTGAAAATACCTCATACCACTCATGATCAAGACATAACTTTGTTAAGACTTACTGGTTTCACCTGTGAGGTTGCTTTTGGTAAGTTCAAAAGCCTGGAAACTCAGCTATTTGGCCTGGCTAATATCCAGTAATAAGAGATTTTAAAGGACTGTTTAAAAGAATGCTGTGGTTAAAAATCAGCTTATTCAAGCTCTAATAGCCTGGAAATCCTTGGGAAAAACATAGGAGGAGCCATGGATCCCGTTTTGGGAAAAACCTCTCTTTTCCTCATGGAACCCCAGAAATCACAAAGTAGATGGATTCCTCTCAAAATCTAAGGCTCTGTATTGTTTTGCATTGCATTATCTGATGTTTTTGACTTTCAGGGGTATTAAAAATTGCTTCACATTATGAGAGAGAGCTTTGGTGTGTAATAACTAAATAGGCAAATATTTTGTCAGAAAAGTAAAAAGTGTGATGCCTTTTAGTTCACACAATTTGAGTAATCTTTGAGAAATAAAAATGCTTTTAAAGATTATTGGTAAAATAAAAATATCTTCCAAAAAGTAGACATTTGGTCTAAATTAGGCAGGTCAGATATTAAGTTTGCTAAATGCTTTAAGGTAATAAACTGCTTCTTTGACTTTTTGGAAGGTTTGTGAAAAATTGGTCTTATGAAAGAAATTAAGTGTTGAACATATTGGTTAAAGTTAAAGGAGTAATATTCAGCTTTTTCATAAATCGAATATTAGAATAAAAGCATAACAGATTTTTCTTAGAGCACTAATTGCTCTTTAACGAAAATTAGAAATTAGGTCTTTTTCTGACCTAACTAATATTTTAACATATTAGGTTTCCTGAAGTCCAAAAATAACATAATTTGGCTTATTTGGCAAAAAAGTTATATAGGAAGCATTGTCAAATATGAAATAATGTTTTACTTTCTTTGGGTTGTATTTGTATCAATATCTTACTGGGATATGTTCCAAAGTTATGTGAAATTCCTATAAGGACTTAGTGTACATTACCAGTAATAATTGTTATGTTAAATTACTGTGTGCCACGGAGGTAACAAATTTCCTTGTCAATACTGTTTTTTGTTTGTTTGTGTTTTGAGACAGAGTCTTGCTCTGTTGCCCAGACTGGAATGCAATGGTACAATCTTGGCACTGCAACCTCTGCCTCCTGGGTTCAAGTGATTCTCCTGCATCAGCCTCCAAGTAACTGGGATTACAGGCACATGCCACCACATCTGGCTAATTTTGTATTTTTAGTAGAGATGGAGTTTCACCAGGTTGGCTAGACTGGTCTTGAAATCCTGATCTCAAGTGGGCCGCCCACTTTGGCATCCCAAACTGCTGGGATTACAAGCATGAGCCACTGTACCCACCTCAACTGTGCTTTTGACTTTGGCTGCTCTAAGACTTTTTGTCATTCACAGACAACTGCTGTCTTGTTTAAATCCTCTTCAAAAGGTGGTTTATAATCAACTATAGAACTCTAAAAGATTTTCTTAAATGCAGTCTTTCTGGTAACTCTGGAGATTGTGACATTATATAGAGGAAAAACCTTTCAAGACTCATGAGAAGCTGAAATGATCATGAATATCAAGCAGAATAGGAGTTAACTGAATAGACTGAACTAATAGAAGACTTAAGTAATCTTTTTTGACTTTTTGCTTTAAAAAATTGCTGATTTTTTTGTTTTGTTTTTCAGAGTCATGAAAACTTTTCCTTTGAGCTATTTACAGCTTTTAAAAATTGAGTACAGTATGCTCCTGTGAATAAAATTTGGAGCATATTTGTTTCTCTCTACCTGATTTCTCCAAAATTTGAAGATTATCTGTGAGTATTCTTAATTAATGCCAATATAGTTATTTGCAGCAGTGTAATAAGCATCTGTTTTCATTTGTAACAAGACACAACTGGAAAAACTGGTTATTTTACTGAGGTTTTGACTAAAATAGCATGCTTTTCTTTAAGGAATCAAACTTAACTTACAGAGCCAATAAAAGCCCCTTGGGAAAACTGACCTCATCCCTTGTCTACACAGTCCCTTTACAGGGTTTGTGACCTTTGGTAAGTAATGACTGTCACTTTCTGACAGACCTTGGAGCCCCAGGTAATCTTAGGACCTCAAGAGGAGAGGAATTTACCCAACTCGTAAGTATTTTGAGGATGCAAACCCATGGCTGGGCTCAGCTTTAAAAAGTGATCTTATGTGAGATTCCTTGTGGAATAGAGTTCCAACAAAGCCAACTTTAAAAACCTATGTGAAAAATAATTATTCTTGCTTTTTATACAAATAATCAGGTTGAGTATAACAAAGCAAATGAGTCATACTATGATTTGTTTTTAATAAAAGTGACAGACTGGAGAGAGAAAAAATTATGTTTAAAGAACTATGGTACATCTGTTATTAGATTCTAACCTCATAAGTTATTTTTGAGGTTTTTTTTTCCTACAATCTAGATTAACTCTGCTTATTCCTGTGAACCACCTAGTGATCTCTGGCTGCTGCTCAGAAGAAACAAGAGGGATGAGTAATATAAAAATCTGGATCAATATTCTAATTCTGGGCACATACTGCCCAGTTGATGGAAAGGCTTCTTATTTCATTTACTTGGGATAATTTTGCTTATTTAGCTTTACTCTTGTGAAATATATTGCTGTTGTACTCTGTGTGGGAATGCAGGATAAGTTTACACACTGTTCTCTTAAACTGAACACTTATTAAACTTCCAGCTATCTTCTTTTGTCAGAACTTAAAAGTTATAAATGACCCTCGCCATACCAATGCTTTCTAACTGAGCTCCTCTCTACCCAAATACAAGAGACCCTAATAGGCAGAACTTCAGCATGAAGTTACAGAAGATGGATCTTCATCTCTCTGCAACCCTTAGGGTTAAGG